CTATTAGATTTAGGCCTAGATTTATTTTACAACTATAAATACCCCATGTACCTCATCATATTTTACAAGTTGAATGAAGAATTGAATTGGTGAGCCAATCTTGAGGGGGAACTCAATGTTCTTAACGTGTGATAAAGAAGGCCATTAGTGCGTCTTTACATGCAGTGTCGGAAAGAAGGCCAATAGTGCGTCTTGAAGTCACGGTGTCTAGGAGAAGGCCGCAGTGCGTCTACTAGATACATCTATCGGGGATAAACGAAGGCCGCAGTGCGTCGTTTATTCGCAACCCAGTATAGGCAATCACACGATCCGTCATCATGTTGCCAGCCCGCTGCTGCCGCTGCGTGCGGCAGCGTGGCCACGACCGGCCCTTGCCGGCCGTTTGGCGACTTCCTCCGGCAACTTCAACATGAATCAACATGACATGACCTAACTTGATCATAGGTACAGAATTTACACACAAATCATGCACTTTGCTCGATAAAGTGTCGTGGTGTGCGCTACGGGCGCTACCATCGGCTTAAGGCCAATCCTCGGCCAAACTTCAATTTCCCTCGACCATTAAAGCTTGACTGATCATAAAATACTATTTAAAGGCGATTGAGACTGGGATTATTCGAATAATTCTGATCATATTAAAAGATAACACGAGAGGGCATATACTACGACCCGTGGGCGTGCACTACGTGTGCAGCTCACTTCCTTGAGTCAAATCATGAACTAAACTTCAACTGGTCTCGACCTATCTTTTTATACTGAACTTATAAGGACATAACCTGATAAAATAAACATGAATTGCACAGGAGTTGCCGGGTAAAACATGAACTTACTCGGTCATAGCCTAACATGGCCCTAACCGAGCGTAATTTGCTATTTACATGCATTTCTGGACATGAGCTGCATAAACTGACTTGAACATGATCTAACCAACATAAAAGGATACTGAACATGAGGTTACCTTCTTAATTGCTCGGAGAATTTCCCATGAACGTGCATGATTTCTCGTCTCCGGGCCTATGCGCATGTGTGTGATTAGGGCTAATATTAGGCTTATTACTTGCTGAGTATATGGCTTTGCTAACCAGCCCTATTTTCACCATAAAATGCTGACTTATAAAGACTAAAAACGTGATGGATTTGTGAAGGAAAGCTCGGCCAAATGGCATGAAGCCATTTGCCGTACGTCTAAGAGGCGAGGGTGGCACTCGGGGTGCTTATTCACCCAATCTGTTGCTTAGTCATCGTCCGAGTAACCCCCAGCCCTCCATGTGTTATGAACGGATGAGGATGTACGTGAAATTTGGGAAATCTTAAGCTCTCGGCGATTAGTTCGGTTAAGCACGACTTAGACGTGCTAAGAACGTGCTTATACGCACTAACGGCCGTACTAAGTATACTCAATGTTAAGCTAAACATGATTATCCTTAAACTAATCCTCATTAATGTTAATTAATCTTAGTTAACATTAAGCTAATCATGATTATGTTTAAGCTAATTATGATTAATTAGCTAAACATGGATTAAGTTAATTAAGCAAGGGCTAATGACCATTACTTAATTAATGACGGACGGTGTACCAAGTGTGAACGCGTTGCTGTATTGGAACGACGACGTTCATATGTGGTAACCTTAACCGAATGTACTCGTTTTCGGTTACAACTTGACCTCGGAACCTCATCTTGACTTAGACGATTAATCCGAACATTAATAATTCGAATAGTTCAACAACTTGGCTTATTACTTCCGAACTCCTTAATCAATTAAATGAATCGGAATTAAATCTGAAAACTCATTTGGTTATCAACCGAATAACATATCGACTAATAGTCGAACTTGGAATATAACTAGCTGAATCATTTGAACTTGAACATGAACATGACTATTTATTAACAAAGGCTAGCTTTAAAATTAAAAGCTAGTATTTTCCTTTATTAATAAAACTCGGGGTATAACAACCTACCCTCCTTAAAATATTTCCGTCTTCAGAAATACTAAAACTGAATGTACAAGCTTAACTCGAATCTTATACTTTTCGTTGACATGACTTGAGGATTCAGTATTGAATACTGAACATTAGACTTGATCTCAACTGAGGAATCAACAATTCACAATTAAGTGAGTTGATGATTAACACTGACTGAAACGGGACACTTTTATAAGATAAAGTGTTCCATTTATTATACTTGATATTAAAAACATAATTCTTAAGTATACTGGTCTTCATCTCCTGGCTGGTTGTTGCTCTTCGATCTGAACGTCGGTAGTAGTAACTCCCAGTCGTTAGTACTCCTAGAAAATTTTAGAGATATGCACATGTACAAATGAGGGTAACTAGCAATCCTGGCAACTACCTTTCCTGAATGTCTACTCGACACGCGGCACATCGTTCGCGGCACATTGTAATGCGGCATACTTGCTCCTCATCAAGTGAGTGCGGCACACCTGCATACAGCACCTGGCGAACATTGTACCTGCAACGTCGATGTAGTCTGTATGGCTGATCATATCTGTATCTCGGCTAGTAACCTCAATGTACTATAATGCTAACTCTCTATGACTTCCCAGTGTACTGTGACTCAACATGATATGGCCTCCTTCTCTTCTGGCGTCATGCACACTTGAATGAAAAGCTCGGTTGTCATCATGGCATGATCTGTTGCTTGTTGATTGGTCTTCTCCGTCGTGTCGTATACCGACAGGTTGTACCTGCAACTGTTTACCTTCCCTGAGGTCAAACATAACCTCAAGAAAAGTTTATCAGAAACTGATCTTTCCTACGAGTTCTCAAATCATCTGCATTTGAGAATCGAGGCATAGGACATACTTGAAATGACTGATAAGTCTTATCATATTAGACAGACTATCCTTGACTTAACATAGCTGGCCTGATCATTCATATAACTGAATATCCAGGACTTGACTTTTACATGACTGAATCGTTCTTTATCTGAACTTTAAAAGCTATCTCGAGACAACTAAATAGTCGCCTTGGAATTTAGAACTTGACATTTACTGACTTACTTGACTTGATAAGGTGCGACTTCAAGTTTTCAGGTAAATTTGGACTAATGGTCTGTATCACAAACCTCCATTTTTAACCCGGCTCGGTAACTATTATACGCCGACCTTAACTCATGAACATTAATTTCTGATTATGTACTATATAGGGTTGTTCCAGTATCAACTGGTCCCGCAAGTACTGAATAAATAACTGATCCTGAACTTTGTCAACTAAACTCAGTGTATCTAACTGGTAAGATACCCAATTTAGTAGACTCTAAAGGTTGTTACTTTCTGAAACTGTACTGCTCCGGTCTCAGCTTCAAGCCTCCATGGTATACCAGGCTTAATGGCTCTTATTTCAAGCCTCCATGTGTTGGTGTTATATACTTAAGCTGTGCTTTAGTGGATATTACACTTGTTATTCCTT